GGTAAACACATCAGAAAGAGGTAAACATAAGAAAACATCTAACAGCTGATGAGTTTGTTTCAAGCCAACAAATAAGATCATTGTTCTCTAAAAGGAGTAAGCTATCAAGATTTGGAAAGTTGACTCCTCTGACTAACGAAGAAGACAATAATAATAAATTTGAAAATGAAGAAGCCGAGAAATATCAAGAAGAAATACATAAACTAGCAACCGAATTTTCTGTTATTTGATTAAAAGATGATTGTGTGGTAGTTGTTTACAAAACTAATGGTATCCAGGAGTTGTCGTAAAGGCAAATATTTTTTATATATTGTTAAGCCAAAAACTTATACCATATAAAACTAAGTAAAAAGCTAACATTACATGAACAACAGTATTAAAACTTGTAATATATTGATAAAGTTGAGTTGTATAAAAAGAAATTTATTGTAAAATAACGTGTACGTTTTTTTAAATAACTCTTAAATATACCTATACCCCACAACTATTCTTCCTCTATATAATTTAAATATGTTTACGTTACATCTTATACAATTTTTGTAAACCCAGGGTTTTAACCATTATCATATCACAATCAGTGCGTAAAAAGATTAGAATATCGTTTTTGAGTTCAATTTTGCGGCCTTTGCTTCCCCATAGAATGTTTTTATACTTCTAGATACTTAACTAGATAGAGATTTATAATTACAAAAAAAAATTATGGGGTAATCGCGGCATTAAAAGGAAATGAAGATCAAAAATGACAGAAAAATCATTTTTTACGTATTTTGAAGCATGATATTTAGACAAAGAAAAGTATTTCCTTTACTAATTTTATTTATATTTAGTCTAAAGTAGACAATAAGCAATAATCACGTGGATTTACTCGTTGCAAAGTATTTACTTTGTTTTTATTTTGAGTTTAAAAATGCCTTTAACACCATTTAGTAAATATTTCAAAAAATTTAGTCAAACTTGGACATCTAATATCTAGAGAACAAATTGATATTTTTTAAAAAAATTGAAACACTTTGTTGATGCTAAATATGCTAATTTAATTTCTGCAATGCAGTAATAATATTTATGTATTGAGTAAAATTACTGAGTAAAATTAATTCTTTATTGAGCAAAAGATTTATCAAAGCGTTAAATAAACGTATCATTGCAAGAAAAACGGATTATCCGATTTAACTTCATATCTGCATAACGGATTATCCGATTTAATTTCATATTTGCATAAAGGTCTAGATGATGATATTAGAAACTCAAACCTAATAAGTTTTAATTTTCCACGCGCATCTAAAACGAGTAAACTTAATTTACTTTTAGGTAGGGTAAAGCGGGGCAACATGGTGAATGGGGCAACATGTGTTTTCATATAGCAACTCAACTAAAAATCTTAAAATCGGGTGAAAATGAAACTGCATTTACATATTGTATTTTAAAACACCAATTGGTTCTTTTTTTTCTTTTTTTTAAAATATTATTAACGCAATATTATATCCATAAATTTACTTTTTGCGCTTAAAAAAATAATTCCTTAGTTTCGGTTTCTCCTAATGTATGTTGTCCTTCAAGTTTAACTTCTTTAGAAGTAATTTTTTGCGACTTGTGTTCATTTTGTGTTACTTTAGTTACAGTTATTGGTAGTTTTTAAAATTTTATAAAATTTGAGGAAA